TCGGAGATCGAGCAGCAGAAGACCGCGATGGCTGCAGCCAAGGCTGCACTCGACCACACCAAGGCTGTGCTCGAACGCATTGAATATGAGCTCAACCACACAAAAACTGATCTGAACACGACCAAGGCCGCGTCACAGGAGCGCGCTGACGCTTGCACGCGCATGTGCAGCACTCTCAAAGCCGAGAAGGACCACTTGCACATGGCGATGGTGCAGCTCTCGAACGACCTCGGCGCGGCCAAGAAATCAATCGCGCTGCAGGAGCAAGCCACGGATGCCTACCAGCAGCAGATCGAGGCGCTCCTTTGTGAGACACGCCGCCTCACGTCCATGGTCGAGCAACAGGAGGCAGCCAAGTCGGAGCTCGCCGATGCAGCGACGGCCAGCACGTTGTTGCTCGAAGCAACGATTCAAGAGAAGACGGACGCGCTCGCAGCGACGACGTTGCAGCTACACGCTGCGACGACGTGCGTGGACACCCAGACGCAGCAGATCGAGACGCTCCTTGGCAACAAGACCGAACTCACGTCGGTGCTGCAGCAGCTCCAGGCCGACCTCGACGCATCCAGCACTGCCTTGGCTCTGGCCCAAGACGCCGTCGCTGCCAGTGCACAGCAGAACGAGACGCTCATGGCCGCCAACAGTCACCTCGTGCACACCAATGCGCAGCTGACGGCCGACGTGGCCACTGCGATCGCGGAGGCCGCGCGTACCAAGGCGTCCAGTGACGATGTGGCCGACGCCAGCGCCAAACACGCTGCGCGGGTGAACGCGAGCAAGGCCCGACTGCTCGAGACGATTAAATCCTTGCAGCATACCCTCGCCACCCAAGCGCCGATGGTCTGTGACCAGTGCACGCACTGGAAGGGCTTGCTCGCGCAGTCGTCCACTGTGATTGGGAGCTTGCGGACCGAGCTGGCAGCGGCGCTGGAGCGGGCCACAGCACCTGCCGACGTCGTCCGCGCCTTCTTCGAACGCGTGCACGCGACGTTTCCGATTCTCCGCTACAGCGCGATCGAGGTGCTCATCGATGGCATCTACGGCGGCGACACGCGCGTCTTTGAAGCGACGGACGGCTTCCAGGTCTTCCCGCACTGCTGACGACGGAGCGTCATATGCCTTTCTTACTGCGTGGTCGTCGATCTCGTCTGGATTTCATTTGTCTCTCTTTACTTTCAACGTCGATGCTCTTCAGTCCTGTTGCCGGAGTTGCAGCTGGTCGTAGCAAGGGGTAGGGTTGCATGGGTCTCGACGAGGAAGATTGTCGTACTAGCCAAGGACGTACCGACGTGAGAGGACCCTCCATTGCGCTCGCATCGCCAACTCTACTTCTCTACTTGCTAGTGACTTGTGGATGAGAGCCCACGTGGCGAGCGGAGAGCAAACCATCGGTCTGGGATGCAGTAGTCGCAATGATGCAGCTTCGAAAGCATCGGTGTTGCCGATAGTAGGTCGACGTGCCTGGGCCTGTGTGAAATGGATAGAGTGTCGTTCGTGGGGTTATTATTGTTGTTGTTGCTACTGCTGTTGTACACTTGTACAGTCGAGGTTGGATCCGTCCGTTCCTTGCGACGCGTCAAACCAAAAGGTATGTATCGGCCGTTTTTTAGACTGAATTCTGCAAAATGGTTTGTTGCACGAGCACACTGCTTGACCGAGAAGCTATAGCGACCGAGGACACGCGCCACCTAAATCTGCATCGAGCCGAACCGAGTTGGAGTGCTATGTCGACGCGCCAGACGTCACGCTGCCGACGGTGGTCCACATGATAAGGGACACGTCCGCGCTAAG